GGAGAAGAAAGCTGAGCTCAAGCTGGCGATCTACCAGGCGATCTAGATTCCTACGCTCACCCTATGGCAACGAGCTCAGAATAGGGACTGAAAGAATGAGATCGCAGGTAGAAGAACTGGCAAGGAGCTTCCTTCGAGAGCTGGGTGGGCTCTTCCTTAGCGATAGGATGAGGAGTTTGATCAATCGGGAGTGACTCAGTAGAGCTGATACTCCTCAGAGAGAAAGAAAAGCTTTCAGAGATATCCGTCAGCTGGCTTGGGCCTTGTGTCTCCCTAGATGAGCTGGAGGAGGTGGCCAGGGACAAGGTGGCCAGGGACAAGGTGGCCAGGGACAAGGTGGCCAGGGACAAGGTGTGTCTTATAATAATAATAATAATAATAATAATAATAGATTGGATTTATATAGCGCTTTTCAAGGCACCCAAAGCGCTTTACAATGCCACTATTCATTCACTCTCACATTCATACACTGGTGGAGGCAGCTACAGTTGTAGCCACAGCTGCCCTGGGCAGACTGACAGAAGCGAGGCTGCCATATCGCGCCATCGGCCCCTCTGGCCAAGACCAGTAGGCAAGTAGGGTAAAGTGTCTTGCCCAAGGACACAACGACCAGGACAGAGAGCCCTGGGATCGAACCGGCGACCTTCCGGTTACAGATGCGATTCCCAACCCCCTGAGCCACGGTCGCCTCTATTATTATTATTATTATTATTACTGCACCACTGCAGTGGCCAATCAAGCCACTTGACCTGACTAGCATAGAAAGCCGACTGTTAGAGTCAAAGGTTTTTTTTTCTTCTTTTAAACAAATCTGATTGGAGCATCTATCAAAACAAGATCCCAGAAACAGAGTAAAAGAAAACGGGAGACTACAACAGAAAAGTCCATTAAAGCCGTCACTGCACCACCAGCAGCACTGTGACCTCATAGGAAACTACGACCATCTTCTTCCATCAGGAAACATCTGGGCAAACACTTCAGTTTCACGCCACATCAGCAGAGAAAAAAAAAAAAAAAAGAAAGAAAACAGGACAGGGGTGGGAGGGATACAAAGGTCCCTGGTCTGCTTTCACTTTTAACTCTGTGGTGGAGGGCCAATCAGGTGGATTATAGGGTCAACGAGGAAATGACCTTGTAATACATCGTTTCCACTGAGCAGTCCTCTGAGGCAGCTCAAAGAGGGTTTGCAGTGTATATGGCGGCATACGTCAATGACTGATGCTGGAGATGGAAATAAATTCTGTATTGTTATTTGTCCATGGTGACTATGAATCTTAGATCTGGAACTGGAGATGTCTCATAAAGTCAACACTAGATTCTTATCAGTTTTAGTGCATCATGAAGCAAAAAACACGGAATAATAACTGCTCATATTTGCTGCGTTGTCCATTTGCCATCACTGTTTTGAGCTTTTGGACATGTGTTTAATGCCTAAACCGACCACAGTGTTACATCATTGTCAGATTAAGCACGAATTATAAACTACAATTCAATGTAAGAGATTACTGGGGAGATTATTGGGAAACAAGAGTTAGATAATTCAGTTATAAAAATATGTCTTGTTAACTCTTAATAAGCCTGTTTGTGGAGAATGCAGACCAAACCGCATCACAGTGCTTTGAGAAATATAGGAGAAAATTGTTCCTGCTAATGATAGAAACAAGCCTGTTTCACCACTTTACGCAAAAAACGCACCGTCAAGTACGACCAGGCTGAGAAGACATATTCGTAGATGCTACCAGCTGGTGACATGCACTCTGGAAATGAACAAATGACTACACCGAGGGTCGAAGCACTCACTGGATCAGGGGTGGGCAACTCCAGGCCTCGAGGGCCGGTGTCCTGCAGGTTTTAGATGTATCCTTGATCCAACGCAGTTGATTTGAATGGCTAAATGACCTCCTCAGCATGTCTTGAAGTTCTCCAGAGGCCTGCTAATGAACTCATCATTTCATTCAGGTGTGTTGACCCAGGGTGAGATCTAAAACCTGTAGGACACCGGACCTCGAGGCCTGGAGTTGCTCACCCCTGGATTAGATGCACGCCATGTGGATGGAAGTGACTGATGAGGTTCCGTGGTGGAAAAAGAGGAATTTAAGCAGCTGGTTAAAAATAACCTCAACCCGAAATTTACAATATTTTGTGCAGTTCCTGAAAAGTTCCAAGGTTAAGCTACTTTAGCAATAGTTATAAAGTTAAAATTAAAGTTAATTAGTTATTTTACACTTAAAACTTCCAGGGAAAACATGACCTAGGTTATGTCTGTGTCACTACTGTTGCACTCCAAAATGCTGCTGCTTGAAACCTCCAACTAAAGATAACATTTTCCTATATCGACATAAATCCCTGAATCCATCCACTTTCTTTCACTTATCCGGAGCCAGGTTTATGATGCATCAGCCTAAGCAGAGAAGTGTAGACCTCCTTCTTCCCTACCACTTTCCTCAGCTTCTCCGGGGAACGCAGAGGCATTACCCAGACAGCTGAGAGACAATTTCTCCAGTGTGTCGCGAGTCTACCCCAGGGACTCCTCCCAGGAAGACATGCCTGAAACACCTCAACCAGGAGCCATCCTAGGTGTGTGTGTGTATTATAAATTTGCAAGTTTCCTTGAAATGGAGATTAATGCTACTCTTTCTAGTTAACAGACGCCCTTCAAACCCTGCTCTGCACTTACTCGAGTGCCCAAAAAACACATCTAAGCAAGACTAAAGCAGATCAGATGAAGGTTTACGAGCCATGTGAAGCACCGACGGTCAAATGTGTAAAACAACGTCTGTAATTATTTGTTAGTCATAGCAACAACAACACAGCTAATAAGAGGAAGGGTTTGATAAATTGTTCTGATGCAGTTCAAACTGTCAGCACTTTTACTACGAGCCTGTTTTTCTGGTTTAGGCACCGTCCCAAAATCCTGCGCTACAGTAAGCCTCTTAAGAAGAGTGGGTGTTGTTACAGCAGCAGATTAATGCTCAGAGTTTTACGATGAGATGTTTAAACACGCACATATGGCTGCGACAGTAAAAACACTAACAGGTGACGTGAATATCATTATCATCTTGTTACAAGCCGTGTTGTGGGAAACTCCAGGTCTTATCCCCCACCTGCAGATAAGCACATTCCTAATGGCAGCAGTGACCCCTCACAGCCTCTTGTAGCAGGTGAGCACACTGACATTCCACAACAACTGCCCAGCATCAGCAGGTGGAGCACGTCAAAGAGCCCAAAAGGCTCTAATGGACTCGGCTGTGGCCCAGTGCACAGCAGAGGGCAAGCCCACATTTTAAAGCACACGTCTACCCCCAAAAATGAGGCATCATGAAGTGTCAGCTTGCCTCCCCCGGCTTATCAGACACAATGTTGCCTTTGGTTATTCATTTAAAGCAGGCCAAGACTTTCTCAGAAGCGATGTTTGGATTCCAAGTGTCTCTTCAGCTTGCTTGGCACCATGCTAGCAATAGCCAACTTAGGATGACAGATGACGCACTAGAGCTTAGAGCTGTTGACATCCCTGGCCCAACTGAAACCTTTCCAGTTCTGTTTGTTTTTTTATTTCTCGTCTCAGTTGTCTTTCACTAGTTGTTCAGCAGCACCGGTGCCGACTTCAGTTCATAGCTCGCAAATAATTGTTTTTGATACATTAAATTAAAATGTTGTTATGCAGATAAATAAATAATGAAGCAATAATGCATGGCTGTCATCAAATTAGCACACCTGGACACAGCACATCATTTGAAGTGTATCTGCCAGTTTCTCAGGATCAAGCGATATCGATTGAGGCCACACGTCAACAAAATTAAAATCCACAAACTCCACTGCCACCCTCAAAGGTCCCATGTAAATGACAGACAGCTGACATGTTGTCTCCACAGGCACACATTTCGACTCCACCGCCTTATCACACACACCATCAGACAAACTCTTTCTTCCTCTGGTTTATTCATTTAAAGCAGGCCAAGACTGTCTCACAAAGCACGTTTGGCTTCCAAGGGTCTCTTCGGCTTGCTTGGCACCATGCTACTATTAATCATCTTCAGATGACAGATGACACACTGGAGCTTAGAGCTGCTGACATGCCTGTTCCAGCTCAAGACATGAGACAGATACCTTTTGTTTGTTTGTTTTTCATTTCCTGTCACTCCGCACACCACTGTGCTATCTGTGCCAAGCAACATCTAGGGAGGCCCGACCCCAAGATTCACACAACTCCAAGCGTTCCTCAACTAGACAACGCTGGACACCTGCGAAGATCCCAATGGACAGCCTGACAGGTTCAGAGGCTTCTGTGCATGTTTGTAGGACAGTCAGACACAAACCTTCTAAGGACCTGGGCGTCTGCTTCCAGGATCCACTTGTTGTGGAGAAAACTCCGTCACAGGATGAGAAACGAGAAAAGCCATAGCTCTGCTCACATTTCCTATCACAGTACGGTTAGCATAATTCCCAGAACAGAAACAAAATGTTTTGTTAATTTGTTTTTATACGAGAAACATCTGGTTTAAACTTTAAGCACAATCACCAACCTGTTCAGCTCATATCTGCTGTATCTTTACATGCATGTGCATTAGTTTGTAGAAAGGAATAAAACATGTTGCTCTATTTAGATTCGATAGTTGTGTTTATGTAGTGTTGTTGTTATTTTCTTGATTCAAACCAGCGTTAAAGGCTAAATGTTTCCTTTAAACAACATTTGTTTTGTTGTTGTTGTTGTTGTTGAACTTCTGTTTGACACCTACAGTCACATGGCGCTCACTTCAAGCTAAGGCTACATATACACTTTACATATGAAGTCATATTAGAGAGTCAGTCTGTTAGCAGCACGCACCTGTTAGACATCTTCATTTAGAGACAAACTAAAGCTAAAATCCAGCTGTTTTCAACAGCTTTCTGTTAGCTGTATTAGCCGCCCTATTAGGCTTTAACACACAGTGTAGTTTCCTGTTTAAGTTTTACTTCTGTAACTGTTGTTAAATATAGAAAAGGGGGTGAAAAAAACTCACCAGGAGCTGCTGAGATGGCACAATCGGAGGCTTCGCAGTGAAGAGTCGGATCTGCTAACTGGACAATATGTATATATATATATATGTATATATATATATATATATATAATTTTTTTTTTTTTTAAGGAACAGCTAGCACGCTTCCAAGACATAAAATAAATTCACATTCAATCCGGTTATGTGGCATTTAATTACTTTACATCATCAATTAATTGATGAAAGTGCCGCTGGTGAACCGGATATAGCCTACTTTTCCTTTTTTAAATTCACAATCAGCAGCAGGGCCTCCATCTGGTCAGGAAACCTGTGCGCATGCGTGTGATTATAACGGTAGCTGTTATTGTGAAGTTCATTTTTCGGGAAAAATGTATGTTGTTTGTTGATATTTTTAGTTTTAAGAACAACTTTGATCTTCCTAATGCATTCAATCCCAACCACACGATTAAAATAAATAAATAATAATTAATCTAGACTTGGAATAAAGCACACAGCCTTATTCTTAGTGAAATAAAGACCAAGTGCGTATTTGCTGGCTGTGTGCTTTGAGCACAACACGGTGAAAGTCTTCAAGCACTCACATTTGACAGAAAAACATCGCAGCTGTAAATCCCACATGCTGCTGTTATACACCACTGCTGTGGTTTAGTCTGCAGACGGTAAACTGTTTTTAAATGCCTCAGGTAAATACTGTGGCACTGTTGATATGAATGATCCGTGAATGCGCCGCCTGTAAAACGTTTAAAGTATCAAGTGCGTCATTAGCTGTGGAGGGTTCTGCGTCCTCACATATTCATGCAGGAACAGACTCTCGCTCTCTCCACGGCAGGGACGTGCAGAGGGGGGGCTAGAGGGGCTTGAGCACCCGCCCCTTTCCTGATGAGTGCCCAAAGTGCCCTTTTGTTGAGGCAACTTTTAAAAATTTTTTATTTATTTTTTTATGTGTGTGTGCGCGCGGAGTCCTGTCTGTGCCCCTCAACAATAATATTTAACTATTAATCACAGTTTTGCTAAATAAAAGGATCTGGCTTGCATCAGTCACATGATCACTATTAACCAATGATCGCCCTCGACGGCAGAACGCGCTGGTTACGAGCCGGGAACGAGCTCACAAAGAGCACGCGCATTTTTAGCGGTCCGGAGCTGTAGGAGAAACACAAGTTAACTCAGAGACACAGTGATGCGACAAAACCAGTAAGTAGGTGTACAGCGTGCACTGTAGTGTGTAGCACCCAGGAGTATCAGCTTATTACGTACACGTTGGTAAGATGTCTTGTTGCAACTGACGAACTGAAACAAACGAGCGTGCTGTGTGTGCAACAGCGCGACAAACATTACCTGTCCTTTTATTAACTGCACAAGTAGTGCTGGTCACAGCTGCTGGCTACCTGTGTAAGGCTGTCATGGGTCTGTAGCTCTGTCACCGTTTTAGGGAATATATTTAGTTTTAAAGTATTTAGAACATATTTAGTTTTAAAGTATTTAGAACATATTTAGTTTTAGAGTAAGTTTCTGGGCATTTCCTGCCTTTCTGGAGGGATTATATTTCACTAAAAAATGATCTAATATGCATGTCCACATAATAATTATTATAATTATAATATATTAAAAAACACAAGCTGTATTTTAAAGAACATACATTAAGAAGCAGATTATATTAGATTTATATTTTAAATAAGACAAAAGTTGGATTTTACAGCAGTAAAATGATTGTATCTCTACAGTTTAAACATGTAATAAGCTTTGCCCCTGCACAGAGTGGATAGTGAAACACATGGAATCATCATAAATACATTATTTCATATTTATTACTTCCCCCTCCTCATTGCTTTATTATTGTAGCTCTAGTAATGAATAATAATGTAAGGATTCTGGATCAGCACCATGATGCCCATAGTATATACAGTATTCTGAAGAAGGTCTAAAATGTCACTGTGTGTGCATGTGTGTGTTTTATTTAGCTGGATTTAAAAAAATATTACTCATGATATAACATTGTGCAGACATGGCTGGTAAGGACATGAGGAGGAAACAGTAGGCGCTGTATGAGGCTACTAAAGGCAGGGCTATAACATTTTTCTGTCATCATTTTATTATAGATTAAGTGCAAGAGTTGTTAGGTGTGGATAATTAGATTATAGTTTATTGCAATAGCAAGTTGTGCCTTGTTCTCAGATAGACAGCAAGTGGAGAGTGATATATGAAATGATGGGAAGGAAGGAAGAAGAGAAGCAAAGAGTGATTCACAGGCAGAGCCGAGTTTATGTCACAGTTTTTTGTGTCCTTATGGTTCCAAGCGCTGTCACCAATCTTTGCATTTTGTTATTATCTCATGACACTTGTTTAATCAGCTACCATCTCTCCTGTGGACTTTTTAATGTCTACAGTCTCAGATCAACACAGCCCTGCCCTTCCCATATTAGATTCTTGATGAATGTGTGTTGTTGTTATTCAGCCTGGTTCAATGTGCCCCTTTTTAACTTTGAGCACCCGCCCCTTTAAACCTCTCTGCACGTCCCTGCTCCACGGGGAGGATCACGGCAGATGACCGTCCTTCCTTTGGCCTCCTGTTTCTTCCTGTTAAAAGGGAGTTTTTCCTTTCCACTGTCTGAGCGCTTGTTCATAGGGAATCATCTGATTGTTGGGGTTTCTCGGTATTATTGTAGAGTTTTTATCTTACACAGTTAAATGAGCTGAGGGCCACTGCTAGCACTGTCATCTCATTGGAGGGCCGATTTAGTGTTCAAGTAGTCCAAAAAACTAAAAAAAGAAAACACCCACAAATATTTCTGCAAATGTTGGGTTTTGTTTGGTTTTTTAAATTTCAAATATTTTATAACAACACAAAACTGCAAACGTGAGGGCAATTTTTTTTCCATTGAACTACCAAATAAATAGAATAGAATAGAATAGAATAGAATAGAATTCAACTTTATTGTCATTGCACATGCACAGGTACAGGGCAACGAAATGCAGTTTGCATCCATCCAGAAGTGCTTTAGTGATATAGATATATTACAATATATATTAGCAATAATATAGATATGTGAGTATATTACAGAAATGGGTCTATTATGGTATGTTATAATGTACACGGTATGAAGTATGTTGTGAATATTCTATAAGTATGTACAGGCTGTAGTGAGTACAAGCTATGAACAGGCTATGAACAGGATATAAATATGAAAAACTATACAGAATATGAAATAAATAACTTTACAGAATCTGGGATATACAGCTATACAGAAATGGGAACTATGCAAGTTGTAAACAGTTGTAGGATTAAAAATTATCCAATGTACAGAATGATTATTTACACAGAGCTATACAGTAGTGCAGTTAAGATAAGTGAGGGTGTAGATAGTTTCTACAGAGGCTATATAAAGTGCTAGTGGTTGTGAGTGGTGGTTCAGTCCATGTTATTATTGTGTGTTTGAGGGTACGGTTGTCCATTGTGTGTGTGTGTATGTTCAGTCCATGTGTTAACGTGGGTCAGATGTCAGGAGGCAGAGTTCAGGAGTCTGACAGCTGTGGGGAAGAAGCTGTTCCGGTACCTGGTGGTCTTAGTCCGGAGGCTCCTGTGGCGCCTCCCAGAGGGCAGGAGGGTGAAGAGTCCATGTGATGGGTGACTGGGGTCTTTGATGATTTTCCCAGCCCTTTTCAGACACCGCTTCCTGTAGATGTCTTTTATGGCAGGAAGTGGTGCTCCGGCGATACAAACACATTGGTCCTCTCTTTCTGGACAGACACGTGGCAGCACTGCTGCTATTATTTTGTTCATATTTAACTAGGGCTGCTCGATTATGGCAAAAATGATAATCACGATTATTTTCACTGAAATTGAGATCTCGATTATTTGACGATATTTATTTAACCCTTTAAGACCTACTATAGAACCAAGTCCGCCAGAGCTTATATTATTTTTTTACATGTTGTAGTGCCATTTGTAGGAGCATTTCAAGTTGCTATACAACTGTTATAGCCCATATTTTAATAATATGTATGAATTAAGTCCATAGTAACTACATTAATTGCAAAAAAGTGCAATAAACTACAAAAAAAAATTGAAAATCGTTTTTGTTTGTTGTTCACATATATTTCTACTTGGAGAAATTTAAGAGGTTTATCCCTCAAAACTTTAAATACAAAAAAGTTGCAAAAAATAGTTTACAACAACAGGAAACTTATTTTGAGTGTGTTCATAGTTTTATTTTGGAGATACACCAATTTTTATATACTGCAGGAAAAACAAAAAAAACAATCCTATGATGCAAATTTTCAAAGAAAACAGCAGGTGCATCAAAATAAACTATTTCCAGCAGTGCAATTCGAGTTCTAAGCATCCCAGAAACTATTCAGAAAAGTCAAACATGACCAGTATAGGCCTTTAAGGCCTACAAGTAAAAAAAACTACATTTCCGCGAAAATGACGTCACTTCCGGTTTCGGCCAGGAAATGGCGGATATGTGATAGTTCGCGCTGACGCCTGTTTCACTGTGGGAAGTGTTACGAACAGCTGATCGGATCAGCGAAGCGTGTTTCTGGAATATTATGTTTTTGTTGCTGCAAGCGCTTTTTATGCAATTTTTGCAAAGCTTTATGTGGAAGGAAACCGTGACCGAGGACAAGCTGATGGTATGAGATGTAAGTACAACTCCTCTGGTTTCATATGCAAAACAAATTATTGCTAGCTTACATGGTCCAGGTTCTACAGGGATTTAAAAATAGTTACACAAAACGGAGCTGCTCTGACGGCTTTAAAGGGTTAACAATGACTTTAGAAAATAATATAAAATAGTGTGCAACACCACTGAAGTTTTTTTTTTAAACTCTCTTTTCAACCAACGGCAGTCACTCTCCAAATAACTTCTGCTTAGCTTTCCGAGCTTCCCTCGGGTCCTCTTAATCAGCGGTCTCCAACCTTTTTTGCGCCACGGACCGGTTTATGCCCGACAATATTTTCATGGACCGGCCTTTAAGGTGTCGCGGATAAACGAGGGAGGGGCTAATAATTGGCTCAGTCATTTTTAATGATCGTTGAAAGCCCAGATCGTAATC